CAGACGAACCTAGTTTTGAAGAAATCACTTGGATTGACTTTAATTTGGATTATTCCTAATCCTAGAATGTAACTTGGGTTACATAGAGAATGCTGAGCAATCATGCTCAGATTTGCATAAACATTTGCTCATATGTTGCAGAAGTCTAAGAATCTAATGTTTCCAATCACTTAAGTCTGTTTCTTTAGGCAAAATCAATCTACTCAAATATAAGTAGCAATAGTTCAGTATTACTACTATTAGTAAAAGTAAGAAGTGCAGTGCTCACCGAAGAAGTTACTCAAGTAAATGTAACCACTACTACCCAGCTCGGAAGAAAAATAACAAAATGAGTAGTCTATTCTTAACTAGCTTACCATGATATATTGTCGATATTAGCTAACATTGTCTGCCCAACAGCATTACTCTACTTACTCGGTTTGTTTAGAAAAAAAAAGAACAGTGCAAAGATATTTGCCTTTTAATGGTTTTGTGCCATGATTCTAACACACCAGTGTGCACCTCAGCACAGCAACACGTCTCTGTCACAAACCCACTGGTGCAAGCATTATAAAGCTAATGTTGCATTTAAAGGCAGTTCGGATTAATTTACATTACTACCTGTCTGCAACAAATTAAACCGTTGAAACGGCTGAAAAAGTGCGGTGGACAGAGGGCACATAGATGGGAAGTGAGGGAGCCCTTTCTGTATCAAATCAATATATGAATATAGAAAGTTTTACCCCCGAATTCCCCCCCCGGAGGTAAAAAAAAAAAAAAAATTAATAAATAAAACAAACGGCTTCGAAGCCAGGACGACCAAGCTAACTCTGTGGGCGGGCATGCCACAATGTCCTGTAACAATAAGGTCTAACGCTCAACAAAAAATTTGATTCTCCGCCAAACTACTTATGCAGAGCATTATAAGGAAGCAAAGTCATTAAAAAAAACAGAACGGCTCTCACCAACTGAGACTTGAGTCCTCCTGTTCATGACATAGAGCCGTTAAAAAAGAATCGGATTGTTCCTGAACGCCACATACACTCCATGGCCGAGTTAAATAGACCCTTTTCACATGACGTCAGACAACATCCGTTTTGACTCAATCCAGTGTGTCTTTAGTTCCGGTGTGTGTAGTTAACGCTGTTTCTGGACTCTAAAGCTGCTGCCACAAATATGATTTGAAGATATATCACTATTTGCAAACAGTTTTTCTTCATCAACATAATCTAAACTGGAAAAATTCCTCGCTGATTGATACCAGTTTGACTACGAAGGTACGTGTTTTGTGTTTTTCTAGCTGTTAGTTGATATGCTAGGATAGCAATAGTAATTTGTTAGCTGGCTAACATTACGTAGCCTTTCTGTTTTGGAAATAGAACGTATTTAGGCTCTAATCTTAATCAGATTTTTATAGTATAGACTGGGGTTGCCACCTGTCATGTAAAATGCATCATCATATTAAACCCTCCTCACTTATGCTAGTTTCACCACCTGCTCAGTAACATTACCTGTAGCCACAAGTCCAAAACTTGACAGTTATGCCAAACACCCTTTGCTCCACCACGTCCTGAGAAGTCAAACTCCTGCTACGATCAAGACATGAGGAGGAAGATGCTGTCATAGATAGATATTAACGTTTCATTGGAGAAATGTGATGATCTCTCTCTCGATATATATATATATGTATTAGCTCATTAACTTCACATTTCTCCAATGAATATTTATCAAATGTTATGATTAGAAGGTTAAGTTTCTTATACTTTGTCTTCCTGTGGTTGTAGACTTGGCAGTAGAAAATTGATAACATAGGAATAACACCTTTATATCCCTTTTAACAGGTTACACTTGATTCTGCTGTGGTGCCTGTGGAAACGAAGTGCATGAAGTTTGTGCTCATGGTGGGAAAACCCTGTGGATCACATGGTGGGACTTCTGCTTCAAACTGCTCATTACAGTTTATCATTACCTCTGTCATCCACCAGTTCACTGCAGACTGGCACCCACCAAGTACCGTACATGGATGTCTTCTTAAATTGTAAACCCTGAGTACATAATGTTGAAATAAAATTTATGTCTTTTGTAACTACATTTTCTCTATCAATGACTTAAATTATTAACTGTGGTAATTATGTTTGTGTAATGTAGTAACCATGTACATGTACAGTGTTTAATATAATTATTAAATATATGTTTTAAAGAAACAGCCACAAACCTTATGTCTTTGCTCCACAATAGCAGCTTTAATTTTAGCATTTCCTCTCCTCCACATACTTTGTTGCCAGATGTGTAAAATTTACAAAAAGAAGCAATTTAAATGTAAAAGTTGCACATATGTAGATTACTCAAGAGAAGCTATTTACAATAGTTTTTACAGAACTCTACACAACATCAATTCATTTATTAATAGATACATATTAATTACAGAATAGATACACAAAGATTTCATTTCTAACACAGCTGCTAGCAGTATTGAGTGTCCATCCAAGAAGTGTGACTTGAAGGAGCAGGGAGGCTCTGTACTGGTTTCTCCTTTTAAATCAAGAGGCCCATGATAGTTTGACTAGGCAGCAGATGTCCCACAGCTGATTGACTGAACCTGCCATGGACAGAGGAACAAGACCATCCCAGATATGGTAGGTTGTTAGGTCGGCTACTGCTGAGAAAGATGGACAACAAAACAAATGGAGAAATTATGAATCACATCAGAATATGTAAATTATTTGGCAGATGGTGCTTAAATCAATATTTAAAATGCTTTTCTAAACAACAGTGTTGGAAGATGTCAGTGATTTTTGTGAAACTTTTAACAACACAGCACTGAAAGGCACTGTGGCTAAAGCTGCTGCTAGCTGGTTTACTCTCCGATTGGAGGCTGGTTCCTTTAAATACAGTTGGAGAATGGTGAATTAACAATGAGTAATAACAGCTATCTAACACTTAAATGCTGTTATTATTAACCTTACCTTTTATTATATCCTTAAGATAATGAGTATCCATGAATTTTTCAGTCAGGTTTCCCGAGGCAAAATCACACCAGAAGTAAAGATACACCGCTTCGAGTTATGGCAGAAAATGTCTGACGTCACTGTGAAAAGGGTCTATTAATGCTACATGAACGTTAGCTGGCTGGGTTTATACTTCCAAACAAGCTAAAGGGCTGCAGTTGAAAGATAGGCAATTATTAATCAGATCCTTTAACATGGACAAAAACATTAAAGGTTCTCAAGTAAAAGGCATGGCAGTTTTAGCTAATGTTGGACCCATTAGCCAATGCTAACATTAGCATATTAGCCTGCAAGGAGTTTTATGCATCATCTTTTACAAGAAAAATAAACCTGTAATCATATATACGAGTAGTAAAGGCATACATGACATATGAAAACATACTGAAGAGGAATAACTCACCTTTAAATAAGTTCTGTTTCTTCTAATGTGAAAGTCCACAAACATTCTGGAAGCTTCCCGCACTTTACTGCGCATGCACAATGCTGAGCTGAAGCATTTGCTCCAGTAACAAAAATATTCAAATCCAGTTTACTCAAAATAACTTAGTCTTGTACCTTTCTCAGGCCAAACATGCACATTACTCACCAGTGACTTGCTGTGAGGTTCATAGCTGGTGAGGCACCGACTTAATTAAAATCGGATTTGCAAATCTAGACCCCCTGCATGTTATTGTTTACTTAAGGAAATTCCGCACATGCGTACAATCCTGGAGCGCAAAAAGACTATTCTTTAACATGTGATGCTTAGCCGCGCCGCCGCCGCAGAATAATTCCGTTATCTCAATCAAACTTAGACATGTAGATATTATTAATTTCGTGCTGTGCTTAAAAGCAAAGGGAGAAACCGTTAAAGTGCAACTCAAAACCACGTCTTTCTCGCTCTCTGTATCAGCGCAGCTACTGTATGGCTAGCTCGCTGTTACTGTCTCTTACTCTGCAGTTGTGGAGTCACAATGTCGGGGATCATGAGCGCCCCCAGCGATGAGGCACGAGAACTGCCTGCCTCACCTCGAATCTATTCTCTGCAGTTTATGATCGCTCCTCAGCACACGAAACACGTTACACACACAGTTGGTGACAATAAAAACACATTACATTAAATACATAAGCTAAATTATGGAAAATCAGTTCATACTTTAAAGGTTTTTAACCATTTTATTGGCGACGTACAGACAGGAGGAGCATGCTCTCATAGAGTGGCAGCCAGTGCAGTTAGCGAGAGGTTGCGCAATCCCAGGTGAGGCTCAGCTCGCTGCTGCCTCACCGGCTTCGCTTCTGAGCATTTGAATGGGAAAATGCGAAAATTCAGCGATTTTGAAGAAAAAAATCATCAGATTTGGTTAACCGCATGTCACTGTTACTCACATTATTTGAGTTGAATTAACAATTTAGTGAGATTTAAGTAAAGCATACAAACCTAATTTAAGTAAGAATAGGTATTGCCTTTTAGAGTGCACTAATCACTTTTAGAACACTTCATGTTTCATCTTTCAGTTGCCTCTGAATGCTGCTTTGTGAGGCAGCAGACAGGCTAAAATCTACCATGTGTTTGCAGATTCTCCCTTTTAACTCAACGGAAAAGTCAATGAGAATTACATTGTTTTGAAAAGCTCAGGCTCCAGGAAGATAAATGACGAGCAAATTGGGCCGTTTCAGTTGGACTTTGTTCTGGATGTTCTGAGCGTCTCAATGCTCTTCACCGTCCTCACTAAAACTGCATCTCATCAGTTTAGTGAGCCTGAGAGGCCCTGCAGGTCAGACAGAACCCTGCTCAGTCAAGTCTTACAGGCTTATGCATGACTCTGTCTCATGCAGACTGGATTACTGTCGAGCACTTTCCCTGGCCGCTCTCACAAATCAATAGCAGACTTGTGCCTGTTCAAAAGCATAGGCCTACATCTGTTGTAGAATTAAGAAAAGTAAAGATATCCTTCCTGTCTGAGTGTCCTTTTGCTAAATCTCATTTTAAAATTGAATGAGTCATACTAGTCTGGTTCCTGACTGCCTCTTGGACCTTGATTGAAAGCTCGAAAGGGTCTCTAGTGCTTATTTTTCTTTTCTATAGTATAAATTCAAACATTGAACGATTTTAAAAATAGCTTAACTACAGCAACAAACCCGCCTATTCCTAACTGTTTAGCTGGAACATTGGCTCTGCATAACTTCAAGAGATGTTTTAAAAATGTATGAATAAATTCTCTAACAATTCAAGGAAAAAAGAATAACAAAAGTCATTTAAATTATTTATTATCCTCAGTGGGCATATTTATTTGTTCTGGAAAATGAAGATTTTGGTAAAAATTGTCCTTTTATAAATAAAAAGGCTGTAAAGTTAACACAAATGAGTTAAAACACAAAAATAGTGTTCTTTATTGTGTTTAAGTTTTATTTATCAAATAAAAAAAGTTGTGTAACCCAGAATCTGTAATCATGTTGATTTCATTTGTTTTTGCTGTTTCCTAAAGCAATAAAATAAATAAACCGACATCTACATGTTCATCAATTCACAAATAAACAGAGCATGTGTTTAATATGGTTCATGGTTCGGTGAACAATGGGCTCCACCAACACAACCTCCCTGACCACACTCACATGAGACAACCATTCCAGGAAACCCAAGTGATGAGCTAAATAATTGATCAGCAAGCCTCCCAGCTGTCTGTGAGGTTTTTCTGTTTGCCTCTGTGCCTGACTCCCACTTTGTTTGTAAGCCTTTACTAAATTTCCCCCTGCTGCTTTAGTTTCTCTTCTACTGCAAGAAAAGAAATTGCTTTGCAGTAACAGTGGAAAAAAGGCTCACCCTACACCAGAGGTTCCCAAACTGTGGGG